GCGGGACAAGCAGACAAGAAGTAGAGGTGGGTCAATGAGAACAGGAGAACTCTGGGAAGAGGAAAGCTCTTCTGCAGTCCTGGCCCAGCCACAGAAGAAGCAAGATGTGACTGCCTCACCGTAAAAGGTACTAAGCCATGTGGCTAGTATAGACAAGGATAATGAGCCAATAGTATAGACAAGGATAAGTTATAGGAGTTAATAAAAAGCCTTAGCTAATGGACCAATCGGTTTATAACTAACGTAGACCTCTGTGTGATTTCTTTGGGACTTAACGATTGTGGGAACCGGGCAAGACAGAGACTTATACAACACTGAGGCTTGCCTCTGGGCTTAGTATCCTCCTTATCCTAGTCCATTTTCTTTGTTGTTCTATTCCCCTTCTGGTACCGTGGGTCCCCCCGAGTACAATGCTTATTTTGGCACTTAATATCTAAAGTATAATAAATAGAGATGCAAATGAAGTCAGTTATATATATATATATATATACATTGCATATAGATATGCAATCTATATGCAATGTATAACAGTGCATTAAAATTATATTGAAAAAGGCAACATATAGCAAATGGAACTCACAATATGTATATTTTATTAATATATATATAAGAGCTAATAATGAGATTTCTTTGTTACATCCTATTGAAGCATTGTAAGCATGCAATGGGGAATCTAGATCAATTAAAATATGATATGAAAATACCCATTTCCTGTTGGTGACAAAGCAAACATTCACGTTACTAACAGTTGCCAGAAATTATTCTTTGTGACTAAGCAGATTTTTCCAGAAAAATAACTATAACAGGCTGGATTTATATATAAAAAATACTACTGGTTTAACTATGTAATTTTTTAGCTTATTTACAAATAATACTCTAAGTTTCTGTTTGTTGACAGTAAAAACAAAGGTAAACTTTTTCATCCATCGACGCTAAAGGCCACCTCATCTCTATCCACCAGCCTCAGACTCTAAATAGAACTTAAGAATCTGCAGTTGGAGACCTCCATGAGACAGGGAGATCAGGTGATCTATACATCCCAAACTGGTAAGACATACTCCGATTCTAGGCTTCATTTGCGAATGTAAAGTATCCTTGAGGAAAGAATAAGGTTTGATGATGCCGGGAACTTCATGTGTTGTGAGGATGCATTGGCTAATCATGGTTGCCCTGGGTATCAGAACAACCTGTGCCAGAGCCTGCTTCCCCGCGACCCACGAACTTGGACTTAGCAGACACACCTTGCAGGGTGATCCTGGGCTGCTGTAATTCTTCCTTGCCACAGGGTAATGGATGGCAGCGGGTGGCTCTGATTGCAGCCTCTCAGACCAGGTGAATACTTTCCACAGATGAAGGGGTTTCTTTAAGAAGAAGTAAAATGGATTTTCTTCGCTGCCTGTTGGGATAATTCTTGCTCAGGGCCAGATTTCATTTGTAAATATCAGGCCATGGTAATACACATGCAATTTGAGGGTAGGAAGCAACAAATACTCCCTCTGCCAAGGTGTCATTCTGTATATAGCAGAGGTTGGCCTAGGGTTTATGATCCTCCTGCCTCAGCTTCCCAAATCCCAAGATTGCAGGTGTGTAGCATACCCAGATTTGGGTAGAGACTTAGTGAGGCTTCATAGGAATTGCAGAGGTACAAAGTGCTTCCTGCCTCTCACACGAGAGCACACTTGGCTTGCACCGAGGCATGAGGGTCTCGCTAGACAGCACCTGGCCCAGGGGATGTCCTGTTGCAAGAGATCGGCTAGATCAAATTTACAGGGTAGTTCACAGTGGAGAAGCCAGACCAGTTTCCTTGTAACCTTGCCAACAGTTTCTTAGGAAGAAGAGGAAAAAACAAACTTCTTCAAGGCCGGAGAGTATCCCTGATGGTTCTTATGTGCATTGATTCCAACCTCCAGTTTAGTCATCTGTGAGCCTTGGCCCTTTGTGTTCCCACTGATGAGAGTGCTCCTTCCTCATGGAGGCTCTCATGACCTAGCCATCCACCTGAGTTTCCTGAGAGAATTACTTAACTGTCACTTCAGGGAAAGCATCCCTATGACTGTGGTTTGCTCTGAGCCTCTCTTCCAGGTCCCATGACTTGAGAGTTGGTGGAGATAGCTCTTTAGGGAGATGTTAAATGTTACAAATTCCCTTTATTCCAGGAAGAAAGCTTAATATAAAGGCTGGGGACAGTGGCAGGGACATCTTCTAATTTGCATGAAGAGGCATGACCCAATCATAAGGCTCCTAGTGTGGGCAGCAAGGGGGCCTTCTAGCCTGCATCTATGTCAGGGTTCAAGCTAAGGATACGCCAGGCATCTAGTGTTAGAGACAGGCATCTAGTTTAGAGACAGCTTTCAGATAAGTTCAGTCCTCCACGCCCAGAGACAGCCTCCAGATAAGGGCAGGTGGAGAGCAGGAAGCTTCTCTGGGGAAGGAGGGAGTTTCCATAATGCTGAACTTAGAGAGAAAGCTGCTAAGCTACAACAGATTGCAACCTATACCAGTGAGCAAAAAAACCTCCCAATATATGACCATCCTTTTTATTTTAAAATACATTTTAAATTTAGAATTGACACAGTCATTACATGTACTTAGTGAACACATACGTGTATAAGCATATGGTGTTTAAAGGTCTGATCACAGCAATTCGCATGTCTACAACTGCAGACATTGTATAGGTTACTTTTGTCCTTTATAATATAACACCTTAGAGAAGAAATTGAAGAGAAGAGTTTACTCTGTTTCATAGTCTGAGGAGGAACCCTCCATGGTAGCAGGAAACAGGACAGAGTCTGTGGTGACCAAAGCATGCATCTGAGACTTGTTTCTCACCTTCTGAGGAAGGAAGCAGAGACCTCAAGGCCAAAACTAGAGCTGAAGCCTTTAATAGAACAGCAAAAGTATAATAAGTTTATATACCAGTGACATCATCATTTATGACTACAAAGTGTTTTTGTCCTGTAGTAGCTGTATAAATTATGCATTTATATGACTGGTATCTCAGTATGCATGTTTGTTCCAGAGTCACTACAGTCACCGAGTAACGTTGTCCTGTCCTGTGATGTGACAGCTACACTGTCACTCCTAATAAACCTGGAATGGCCCACTCAGCAGGAAATGGCATTTCTGGAATGTTCACAGGGGTTGTCAGTGAGCAGGATGCGTTTCAGAGGACAGAAGTCTTGAATAAGTGTTTGGACTGGATCATCTGTTCTGGCCACTTTCAAGTATAAAAGTTATGATTTACTGATTTCATGAAACACTGCTAAGATAAGAGCGCTACGGACACAAAGCTACTATTCTCAGTTCCGATTTTGGAAGCGATGTTATAATCTCTGCTCATTTTCAGTTTTAGTATTCATTTAAGCTTAGTGAATTTTCTCACCAGCTCCCCCTTTTGTATTATCACAATATCTTACAGCTCTAATCAGCCAATTTGTCTTGACAAAAATTACATGCATGGCTGTCCCTATTCACAGCACGGTTATGTTCTTTAGAATCTCGATCCAACCATAGCCTCCCTCTCCTGGAATACCCAATATGTATATTCAGACCTGGTGGTTTGGTTTTGCCAGAAGCTCCCTTATCTGTTTTTTGCAAGCATAACTCACTTTAATTCTCATTGTCTGAGAGCATTGTTTTTAATCATCTCAATTCATGTGGAACTCATGTAGCTCCATTCAAGATTCAGAATTGAACCAGCATTTTTTAATGGAATCTTTAAATAGATTGTTAGAAGCAATTGTGTTCCCTCCTGTAATTTAGTCCCAAGCTCCTATTTTATCAAGAATGATATTTCCTTTTACCTGGCCTTGTCACTTGATCATGAGCAAGGGTGTACATTAATAAGATAAAGTCCTTAGTCAAGTTTAGAATCCTCTATGAGCTCAGATTTTTGTCTGCCTTGAAATTATCTGGAACATTGTTCGTATGTTCAGGTTGAAATTGGCCACACTGTTTTATTTTGGGTCAAATGCTCAGCAGTATTACTGCCAGTTCAGGTTGTTGAGGTTTCCAACGGTCCACTGGGACACATTCAGAGTGTGCAGATCTCCTCCCGGTTGGCATTCTACTCTTCTTTTGGGAGATAAAGTAGAAGTTTCTAAACCATTTTAAGTAGGATCTCCTAGGGGGCTACACAGTAGTTGGAGTCAGTTAGACTAGAGAGGGCTGTTCTATTACTATATGGATTGTCCCCCCCCAGAGCAGAAAGCGAACTTTTAGTGCTTTAGAAACAAAACAAAAGGAAGTAACAACAGTGACAGACAACAAAGACAGCAAAGCCCATTTGCAGACCAGGCAAAGGAATTCTGGATTTGCAGATATCTTTGCAGGGTTCTATTTGGAAAGACAATGCACTTATTTGAAAAGCAGAGCAGTCTGCTCCAATACGCTTTTCTTTTGTTTTGCCTTGATCAGCAAACAGCAGAGTGCCGGCATTGGGATCTTCACTCAGATCACGGCATGTGTGGGAAACCTACTCCTCTATGTAGACACTCCCATGTTGACTTCTAGACATTCTGCTTCATATCACACAGCTTTGACTCACGTGCTGGAGCACTGGATTTTCACTGACTTCTTTTGAATTACTCAAAAATTGGAGGCAAAGATTTAAAACAGAAAACATGATCAAAAAGGAAGATGAAATAATTTTGAAATTATCTATTCTTAAGTCCTATGTTTCTCTGTCTTCTTTGTGTATTAGCATTGCACATTGAGATTTTAGCAATAAGAGCACAGAGACTTAATTACAAAACTTAATCAAAAATAACTGCCCCTTTCCTCCTTAGATATTCAATTTTCCCATTTTCTCACAGAAATAAGAAGGCAAACACAGGCATATTTAGCTCTGACAATAGTTGTGCTTCCCCAAAATTTACATTTAATCAATTGCTGGCAGACCAATTCATATTTTAGCACTAGGAGCTGCGTTGCAGAAACGTTATGCTATTTAAAGGAATCTTATTATGGATTTAACAATTAAAGCCCTAGCACACCTGCTTTTACAGACTTGGAGCTCTTAATAATGGCATTCTGTCGAAAAATGCCTCAAGTTTTATAAATGAAGGCATGTTTTACATGCACTAGGGGAACACTCTCTTAAAAATACAACCTTCTGCTGAACCCCTCTCTAAATACACTTCATGATTCATTTAATAATTTATTTTTGACTCAGTGTTTCTTAAAGTAGGGAACAACAGGATTACCTTTCTTCATCCTGCAGGGATGCCCTGAGTTGGGTAATTAGTTAATATCCACAGCTTTCCGGAGAAATGAATAAAACATGGAGTGCTGTACATTCTTCCTCCTCTCTCACCTTTCCTCCTTCTCTTGCTCAGGTAGGCCTGTAGTAGTTGAAAGACAGCAAGAAGGTCGCTTAGAATTTACTCCATCTCAAGGGCTTGCCGTTGCTTTTGTGGAGAGGCATGCTTACTGTGTGAAGGGGAAGAGGAATAAAAATAACTCAACCAGAAGCATAAGACAATGGCAACAATGGGAGCTTAGAAACCACAAATTGATCACAGATGAAAGAACTTGCATATGGACAAAACAAACACCGATTTTTCCATTTTAGGCCTGGGATGCAGAAGAAAACAAAAGTACACATTTCACTGTTCATCTCTTGCACACTTCCTTTTTAATCACCGGGAAACTCATCCCATCTCCTTCATTCATGGAAACAGTTAAAATAATCCCCAATTCGTCTCTCCATTTCTGCTCCCTGCTTAGGCATACACATGCACACACACACACACACATCACACACAATTCACACATATACACACAGATCACTCCACACACATACACACCACAGAAAGCATCACACATGTCATATCCAAATCACACGCATACACCTCACATTCACAAGTGCACAGATTCTGGTCCCTGTTCCTTCGGAAGGTGGTGGTCACTGTCACCATTGTGTGGGTGTGGGAGACAATGGTATGTGAGGCGTCTTCTGATTTTCATGGGTTTCTTGAGGACTTTGTGAATATAGAGGTGGAGATGAGACCTGTTTTTCCCTTTTTACCATCACCAGACCTATATGGGATTCAAGCTGGCTTTTCAAGAAAAATGGACATTTGTAGTCTCCAGTGAATAGAGGGGGAAATGTTTTCTGAGTGTGACATGGTTGTTACATGCATCAACCCACAGCCACTGTTGTTACTTGCAGTGGATTAAGACAGTGAATATTCCAGGAGAGATAGGGCAGAGATGCCCAAGGACCTTACTCACAGCTACAAATCTTTTAGCTGCTGATAGCTGCTGAGGGGAGAAGGAGGTTGCTCACACCCTCAGTGGAGAGCCCTCATCCATGTGCATGTGGTCAACACAAATTAGACACCAGGCTAGTAACAATAATAGAAGAGTAAATGAGACCAGGAAGGAGGGTTCCATGGGGAGTTGGAGGGAGGTAGTGGAAGATGTATTTTATCAAAATATATATGTGTACAGAATTTTTGGAGAATAAGTAGAAATATTATTAATAAAAGAAAAAACAATGGGTATTCTGTAGTTGGAACGGCGGGCCGCTTACCACCACCAGGCTAGCTTTACCCAAAATAACAACACACAAATTGTATTCTTTTAAACACTGCTTGGCCCATTAGCTCTAGCCTCTTACTGGCTAACTCTCACATCTTGATTAACCCATTTCTAATGAGTGTAGCACCACGAGGTGGTGTCTTACTGGGAATATTCTTAACCTACATCCATCTTGGAGAGGAGAGCTATGGCGGCTGTCTCACTGCCTTCTTCCTCCCAGCGTTCTGTTCTATCTTCCCTGCCTACTTATGTTCTTGACCTATCAGGCCAAGCAGTTTTCTTTATTAATTAACCCATAGACAGATGACCCTCCTCCATTAGTATTCCCTATTGGAAAAGGCAGTAATTGTTTTTTAAATTGCTTTTATTGTGCTATACCTTCCTCCTACCCACTCCCCTCCATTCCTTCCCTCTTCCCTTCTACTCTTTCCCATGACCCCTATGCTCCCAATTTACTCAGGAGATCTTGTCTTTTTCTCCTTCCTATGTAGATCCATGTATGTCTCTCTTAGGATCCTCTTTGCTGTCTAGGTTCTCTGGGATTGTGGGCTGTGAACTGTAGGCTGGTTTTTTGTTGAAGGCATTAATTGTAAAAGGAAAAGGCAAAGAACTGACTCTCTGTACTTGTTTATGTGTACTGCTTAGCATATCAGGCATATTTAAGGACCAGGGAATTAGGGATCTCGGTCTTCACTTTTACAGATAGAACATCACCTACTTATGGGATTTTTCTCATGTCCTGAAGCAATGCAACCTTCCATGCAATACTCTTCAGAGGTTCATTTAGATCTTGGTCATGTTTTGGGATCCTTCAGTAGCTGTTTGGTGCTTGCGTGGGAAAGCAGGCATTTTCGAGGCTTGTATTCCCACTCCCTATAGGTTGCAGCATCTTCTGTGTGTGAACTAATAGGGTGTATCTGTGAAAATGCAAAAGAAAATGTCAATCACCAAAAATAAAAGACAGCAATACCAAACGGTTGGGCTGCAGAGAGTTTATACATCTGTAAATCATTGGACCTAGGAGACTCCAAAGCTGAAACTGCAGGGAACATGTCTAGCTCCTGAGTCATGCAGGGCCTTCAACACTCCCATGGATCTGCATTCTGAAGACATGATTTGGTCATTTAGGAAGCATATGACAGCCAATGCAGCTTTTGCTTGCATTTGATCTATTTAAATAGCTTAACAAATATGAAGCATAATTCATACACTATACAATTTTCCTCTTTGAAAGTATGTACTTAAATATTGTTGAGCATATTCATAGAGAGGTGTAAGACAACTACCATAATCTAATTATATTGCATCTTCATTTACTTTAAAAGAAGGGCTATACACATTAACAACTCCTTTTTACATTATTCTCTCTACTTCTGCCTCAGCGCTAATAAGCCATGGTCTATCATCTGTCTCCAGACATTTGTTCTTTCTGCATATCACAGAAACAGACCCACACAGCATGGTGTTATTTGTGACAAGACTTTTCATTTGGTATAATGGCTTCTGTGTGCAAGCATCTTTGGAGTACATGCCAGTATTTCATTCCTTTTTTTGTGGCCAGACAATATTTCATCCTAGGAGTCAATGCAAATTTTAGTGAAACACTCATCATTTGACACTATTTGCATATTTCTGATTGCTAGTTATTAATATGGACTCAGGAATCTTTTGTTGTGGTGAATGAGTTTTCCTGGAAAGACTCATACTTACGCTGAACCTGCTCCAAGTTTAATTGATTAACTGATAAAAACTTCAAAGATTTTGGAGGGGTTGGAATGTTGCAGGATTGGAGTCTAATTATAATTTATGTTGGGCCTCTTTTAGCTTCTTAATAGGCATTTGTTACTCTGCTTTATGAGTGACCCAATATCTCTGTGACCGTTAGGTACATCTTTAGGAATGTACAAACAGACCACTAGCTACTACCCCTGGAAAGGCTAAGAATGACACCTGCTAGCATCCGAAGCCTGCAGCTGAGACTTTCTGTAGCTCATCTATCTATTGTTTTAAATAGATAATGTGTTTTAAAAAATCCTTGATTTATGACTTCCCTTGTTTAGTTACTATAAAAGCTTACTTAAAATATTTCCACCTTAGAGTATGGAATTTGGGGTAACCTGGGTCTGTGTTCCTGAATGGATCAGAGTTACTGTATTTGATTCTAGAAATCTCTCTCTCTCTCTCTCTCTCTCTGTTTCTTAGAAACAGAGTTTCTCTGTATAACAATTCTAGCTGTCCTGGAATTCCCTTTGTAGACCAGGCTGGCCTCCAACATACATGCACACATGTGTTGCACACGTACAACACACATGTGCACACACACTTCTCTTTATTTGCTACACAAATACTATTCTTCTCTAAAATCATTTTTAAGAAATGAAAAGTTTTAATTTTAAGTTTTATTTTAAATTACTTTCAAACACACCCCCTTTCCACATGATTATAAATGTATCTTAAAATAATCTCTTTAATATCTCATCTCTGAAGATTATTAAAATGCTTTTATTTTTAAGGTGTCTTTTAAAAATGTAATATTGCTTCATAGAACCCTATAGTATTAATTTACAGCCCTTAATATACAGTAGATGTCTAACGTATTTTAAAAAGCAAAAGAAGGATGCTGGACATTTTCAGATAGAAGTCAATTATAGTAGGCTTTCTAATTAGATACTGGTCTGACTTATTGGGACAGAGACTCATTAGCATGTAAAACTCTGGCCCACCCGAAGGAGGGAGTAAGGAAACAAGGACTCATATTGTGTAGCAAGGATTAAACTTCCCTTCATCGGTCATGACTTGCAAAACCTTGACCTCTGTGTTTCTCACTAGATAAAGGAGTCCTTGGTTTGTCCCTTCACCTCTAGGGAAGCAATTATCTCTATTGTACTTAGAAAAACTGTAACTCATACAATCTCTTTCTCCTCCCCAGGAAGTAATCTGCTGGAATTCAAAATACAATTATCATGCTTGACCAATTTCCTGTATCCTGGAGCTGACCGTTATTAATGGCATCCAATTATTCATAGCGATCAAGCAGTCGACCTTGCTAAGTAGATCACAGTGGTTGGCATTTGACAGTCAGCCTGCTGGCCGTGCATAATGGAAGGAGACAATGTCATATCCTGGTTGTCCTCAATAAGAACAACATGTCACTTGCAGCCTTTTCCGAACGCTGTAATAACTTGATTGCAAGGTTTAGTCTGTCATTATGTTAAATGCATACGTTTATAAATGCTGGCGGTAGCAGAGGAATGAACTTGGTTTAGATGAGCTTCCTGTTTGGACTTTCCTTGTGCCATTGCAAATCAACTGGCTGAAGTCTGGGGAGATAGGAGGTTTTCCAAGCATCAGTTTCTTCAGTTAAAAAAATGAGGGCAATTTCTCTCCCTTCAAGGGTGGTTGTGAGCACAAAAATGATGTCATTACCATGGAATGATCTGGTAAACAAAAGCCACTCAGTCACTGTTAGTTTTTTGTTCACAATGTCAGTCAGAGCCTAAGTTTCAGCAGCAGCGAAAGAAACAGAAAAAAGCCTTCTATTTGTTCACCAAGGTGAAGGGCAGACTTTGCCTGTTGGATGGAGGCTGCTTTTTCATCCTGCCTGGTCTATGGGCTCACAAGTCAAAGGTTTTCCTTTCGCCTCTGTGGTATTAAAGTGTAATATTTGTTTGTAGTAGAGGGGAGTAAGCATAAATTCTGACATAAATTTCTAGGGGCTTGGCTTTCGACCCCTCCCATTCCCTTGCTTCTATTTTTTTTCTTCTGACTCAGATGGTCTATACCAGGTTTGATTCAGCTACAGAGAGGGGCAAATTGTTTTCTTTAGAAAGGGCATTCATTTTTTCATGCCATGAGGAGGGAATGTTCACAATGCACTAACTTTGAATTTTAGTCCAGGCCATCCTAAGGGGGGTGGGGGTGGGGGAACACACACACACAGCTGTGTTCGCTCATGACATCAACAGGTCTGACATAAGTGATCTGACACTTCCTTATTATTATTCTCTTGAATTATTGTTCTCCTGTCACCAAGAGAGTTGCTCCAGTGTTCTTTGCATCCCAACTTAAAAAAAAATATGCAAACACTTAGGATTGCCAGAGTGAAGTGAAAACAGCGTGACCCCTTCACCATGTCTTATACACCCAGCGGGTCAGTTCTGCTTATGGGAGGCATTCAACTTTCTGTGAACCATTAAGGAGCACTGAACAAAACTGCCTGAGAAGAAACAAGAAGCTAATTTCACAGAGCCTGTCTGATGGTGTTCAATTAACTCTGAGGGTAACTGGGGATTTCTTGGTGACCCGAGACATAGCTTCTGTTTCTGTGTAGCAAGTGGATCTGTAAGCAGGTAGAAGGGAGACAGAAAGGTGACTTGGGAATTCTCATATATTCAGCTTGCGGGCTGAGCAATTTAGAAAGTGACCCTGCTCAGCAGAATGACATACTCATTACAGGGATACTTAAACCTGGATAGACTGAGCTTTCACTTGTGAGTCTTTTTATGTTATTACCAGAATTTTTCTTGCCCAAGAAGTAACAAGAGAGACAGTGTAGTCACTAGGCTTAGTTAAGTGCAGAGGGTTGAATGGAGGTTCCCCAAAATATTCATGTTCTTATTCCAAATTTGTAAAAGGGACTTTTGCAGATATAATTAAGGGTTTTGAAATTGCCTAAAAGAGCTCAAACCCAATGACAGAGAGGAATGCAATACACACACATACACATGTGCACAAACAAACACACATGCTCATATACACATTACATTCAGACAAATGTGTGCACACATATAAGTGTGTACTGTCAATGATCTACACACACAGACAGAGGCAAAGAGAGACAGAAACACTGACAGAGATCAGAGATAAAGAGAAAGTGAGAGAGAGACAGAGAGAGAGACCAAGTAACACATAAACTGGAGTTGGAATGACGCAGCTATGGTCAAGGAAGACAGTAACATCCGTCAGGAACTAGAAGAGGCAATGGATGAAACATCTCTTAGAAGTTTCTAGGGAAATGTAACTTAATTACTTGGTCAAAAAAGGTTCCTTAATCTTAGACTTAATGATCTTTGGAGCAGGTAAACTTATTTATGCTCTTTTAGTCACTTTTGACATGTTATGGTAGCCATAGGAAATGAAAAACAGTGTAGCATCTGGTATGGGGTTTTTATTCTATATGTTGTGCCTTTATTTTTCAGAAGAAATAGATCTTTTGGGCAGATAAATATATGTCTCCAAAAATCCATTTCCTTACTTTTGCCATCTCTTGTGTCCTCATTTACTAATTTACTCACTTCTTTTATTCACTATTCATACTTAGTACCAACTGTAGTAAATATTCTACAGGAATGGGGCAGGACAGTGAAGAGACCACACACGGACTCGAGCCCCAGTGGGATCATGCTCTAAGGAGACACACAAATGGAGAAGAGGAAGTGCTCATTGCCAGGTAAGAGCTATGAAGAAATATGGCTGGAGCAGCTCCAAAGACCAAAAAGAGGACGACTTTAATGCGGTTAGGGTGGTGGACTCCTGGCAAGGCAACGGCCAGAGCAGGGAGTAGCGACACTGGTGTTGACTAAGTTTTGAGCCTGAAGACAAATGGAAGAAGTTATAGAAGAAAAAGAAAATTTTTGTTTTGAGAACTTCAGTTGTTAAAACCAAGGGGATTTGTTTTAAATTTATCTCTCATCTATTTCTGTATTTATCGATCTGCCCATTTGCCTATCTGTCTGTCTGTCTGTCTTTCTTCTATCTATGCTAGCAAGCATGAATCAAAGGGTTTGCTTTGCTGGCTAGAATACCGATGTTTGTCTTTGCTGGCTAGAATACTGATGTTCCATCTATCTGGCAAAAGGCAATTTCTTGGGTTGATGTACTTTCTATCTAAGGGTCAGCTAGCAAACATGGCTTGCTT